GAAGTCCCAAAGTCAAAATGGGATACACCTCCAAAGGTGGCTGAGAATGACCAAGCTAAGATCCTTTGGGACTTCCAGATACAAACTGACAAACTGGTAATGGCCAACCAACCGGACATAGTAGTGGTGGACAAACAGAAGAAGAAGGCTGTAGTGGTAGATGTAGCAATCCCAAGCCATAGCAACATCAGGAAGAAGGAACACGAGAAGGTCGAGAAATACCAAGGGCTGAAAGAAGAGCTAGAGAAGATGTGGAAGGTGAAGGCACAAGTGGTTCCCGTGGTAATAGGAACATTGGAGGCTGTGACCCCCAAACTGGGAGAGTGGCTCCAACAGATCCCAGGAACAACATCTGAGATCTCTGTCCAGAAGAGAGCAGTGCTAGGAACAGCTAAGATACTGTTCAGGACCCTCAAGCTCCCAGGCCTCTGGTAGAGGACCCAGGCTTGAAGGAAGGAATACAAGACCGCCCCAAAGTGGGGGGGGATTTAGTTTAATAAATAAATAAATACAGACAGACAGACAGACAGACATATATATCAATGTTCCTCTAGTGCACATGTGCACATGTCAAACTCAAGACCCGTGGGCCACATCTGGCCTGCTAGATCATTTTATGTATCTTTTTTTAATGGCCCGGCGAGTTGAAGCACCGATAACACACAAACTGTAAATCCTATAATGCAGCACAACAGCTGCCTTACTGAACAATAGGCTACCTGTGATTAAACCTAGCAGAAGGGAAGCAAATCCACACACTGATTTAATGCTCCACAGAATTATTTTTATTTAGGCTAGACTACCACAGCAACCACATTTTGACATGAAGTCTTCATCAGGCATTTACAATGACAGGTGAAGTGAATAACACTGACTAGTTTGTTACAATGGCACCTGTCAGTGTGTGGGGTATATTAGGCAATGGGTGAATATTCAGTTCTCAAAGCAGACTTGTTGGAAGCACTAAAAACAGGCAAGTGTAAGGATCTGAGTGACTTTGACAAGGACCAAACTGTGATGGTGAGATGACTGGGTCAGAGCATCTCCCACACTGCAGGTCTTGGTGGGTGTTGTTGGTCTGCAGTGGTTAGTACCTACCAACAGTGTCTAAGGAGGGACAGTGACCAAGGTTCACTGATGATGAGTTTGATCTACTGCAGATTAAACTCTTACATTTCATTCATTCTTTTCAAAAGATTCCATTTTGTTTGAACTTGTGTTAAAATGGGTGAAAAAGAGAAATACTATGAAGAGAAACATCCAGCAGCTATAGTGGTGATAACACACCGAGAGTGGGGAGGCTGCTGAACTTGTCTAAAACATCTCAACCTGTTCCCATGACCACAATCCTTCTACATACATAATGCAGGACTTCTAGAATGAAAGACTCTTTCTTTCCAGCTGCCAACAGACTCCTAAACAGATGACAGGGGTTTACACTCAGGGTTTACTTCATGTAATTGCACCTGTACTGTTTACATGCATAGTTGCACACCCACTGCTGACTATGGCACATACAGCCTCAATGTAGCATACACTATCTTTTACTGAGTTCTCATTGCTGCTGACTATTGCACATACAGCTCCGATGAGGGTATTTTCATTATATTTTTATATAATGGTTATTATAATTTCTTTTCACTCGCTGCTTAAAGTGCCTTTAGATTCTGTGCTACTGTTTATCTATTGTATATTTGGCTTGTGTTGTTTGGCATTCAGCGTGGACAGCAAAGTAAGAATTTCATTGTGCAGGGAAACATGTTTCCATACTGTGCATATGACAAACACTTTGAAATGAATTGAATGAGTTTTCCACTGAATGGTTGATGCATTTGTGCTCTTCCTGACAGTAAAACTTTGGAAGCAAACAGATTCACAGAAGATGTGCTGTGAACTACAGAGAGACACGAGTAACAACCAACTGCTGCGCTGACTCCTGTGTACACTGTATGAGGCAGGTGGTCATAATGTTATGGCTGATCAGTATACGTATATAGACTTCATCAAATTGATATCAGGTGTGACACCACACCCAGACCAATCAATTATTAGCTCATAGTTGGTCAAATTAATTCTTGTTCAGCCAACAATTACAGGTGTCCAATAGCAGTGTCTTGTTTATCAACCAATATTACTCCTCCACCTACACATTAAAGATATTGGCTTTGGAAGCTGCATGCAGTTTTCTTAGCTATTTAAAATGGGCTCATTTATGGTTAATTCAAATGATTTATTCTCTTTTTTCTTTGCGCATAAGAGTTAATAACTGCACCAATGTTGTACTGGCATACAATATTCTTCCACAAAAACAGCACAAGCCACATTCCATCCACAAAGCCTAATAAAATATATATTTTTTATTGCTTCTGTTCAACCAACAATGTATGGGTACATGAACACACTATGTGCTCTGACGCCAAGGAGGAGGCTCCTTTCTTTGTTGTATTTGGCTGAGCAATATGAAAAAGCCAAAAATGAAAATCTGGCATATGGCCACTTAATAATAGGGCCATGGATGGGAAATAAACACATACAGTGCAGTGCACAAAATGAGTGTCCCGTCTATTTGTTTGGCACACACACAGTCCACATAAATTTGGATAGATGATCAAATTTAGGTCACACACACACACACACACACAGACATGGAAAGGATGAATTGACTTTAACACAAGACACAAAGCACTTGTACATTTTTCTTTACAAGGCTGAACTGCTGATGCCAAACAACAGAGTATTCCATATAAAAACTGAGCTGAATATCCCTGTCAGCAAAAGCTGTAAGGAAATAATGGACCAACGAGGTGGGGAGGGGGAGAGGGCAAGAGAAGACTAGCAGAAGAGAAGCAGGAACAGGGGAAAAGAGAAGTGTTAGGAGTCCACTAAGTGATATCTTGAGACCTAAACAAATGATGAGGAGATGGAAGGAAAGATGTGAAAAGGGGAATAAGAAAGTGAATAAAATACAGGTGCTGACAGCATGTTTCAGAAGGATTCCAAACTCCTTGTGCCCCAGAGAAAGAAACAGATCAGAGAAATGAGAGAGAGAAGAGAGAAGAATAAACAAGTTATATAATAACAGAGAAACAGAGAGACAGGGTGAGGAAGGAAGGAGAGAAAATGAGGGAAAAAGAAGAAGAGGGTGTAGGAAAACTGAGGGAGGGACTGAGAAAGAACATAAGAAAGAGGAAACAAAAAAGAAACGTGAAAGAAAAATACAGTGATATAGAAAGGAGTGTACATCAACAGTGACAGGTAGTGTGTGTGGAGCGTCAGCCACAGATGCTTTCTCACCAAGATGGCTCTGAACACAGTGGAGCTGATGCCATCGGCCACTTCAAACTCTCCTTTTTCATTTGGGCGTGTGAAGTTGTTGTCCCGCCCAGAACCAAACATCCTGAAAACAGAAAAAATAAAATGCTGTTGTTCTTCCTGATCAAGAAGACTCAGAATACAGCTGAGCAGACCAATGATCATCCATCTGTACTGCCTCTGCCTGCTTTGTGTTCCAGTTTCAACGTTTCAGCATTAAAAGAGAATTAAAGACATTTTAGCTGATCAGCATGTGGCCTCAGCACTTGTAATCATAAAACAGAATTGTGTTACAAATCGAAAACCATGTAACAGGAAAAAGGATGTAATCTTGGGAAAAAGAAGAATCACAATTACCTATAATACCTGACCTATAATAAACGGTACCGTAGTATAGGTATTGTCAGACATCACAAGTAACTCTGAAATATTTGCATGTTTATCATACAAATCCCCCCCATGCTCACTGATACTGTATGTTGGGTCTTGGCGTTTCTGACTTTGTGTGCATCTGTGTATCTACAGTAATGGCCAAAGATATTGGCACCCCTGCATTTCTGTCAGATAACGCACCACCAGAAAATAGCTACAATCACAAATTCACTGCTATTCTCATGTTTATTTCTTCAACACAAAAAAGCAGAGAATAAGCGCCAAATCTGATACATTCTACATAGAACTCCAAAAATGGACACGTGAGACACGCATCATCCTTGTACCCACATGTTTTTTGTGCTTCAGGTCTATTTCTTCACTACAGTGTATTGAACCAAATGTGATCCTCACAGACTATTCATCCAGTCACTGTCCTGCTGACAGACTGTGTTCTGATGACAGTGAGAGTACACGAAGGCCGGAGTCGGTGCAGAGTGAATGAATCAAACGCTTCAGTAGCTTATTGCGCTGCTCACATCTCACTTTCAGTGTGACTTCCTAATCTCAGAATGCTAGCAGTGCAGTGCAGCCTGGCGCTTGTTGTCCACTTTGAAAAGACCAGCACTTCACTGGAAATGCGTGCGTAGGTACGTATGTGGAGAAAGCAAGAGAAAGATGGAAAATGTAAAACATATTTAATATGATGGTTTTTTTATATATAGTTCCAAAAATGTTTGTGTATGCTGTTAACTACAGTGCGTAGAATGTCAGCCAAAATCAGAATTGGAAGGTCAGACTTAAAAATAAATAAATAAATAAATAAATTGCAATCGGTGCATCTCTACTTTTACATTCCCTTAAGATAAAGCTTAAGATATGCCTGCACATCTGCTGACATCTCAATGCAACAATCTGACAATATCTACAGTGAATCTATTAGTCATTACCTGCCCAGCATGGTGTTAGGTTGAGCTGTGAAAATAGCAGGATCCACCACGAATCTTGTATTGTCCACAATAAGCGTGACTCTTTCTCCCAGCCTTAGTCCACCACGATGCCCCTCTTTACTGCTGAGGTCATACACATAGATCATGTCGCACGGTCCTTGGCCCAGGGTCTTAGGGTGGTGGTCAACTCTTCCCTGGGAAGCACAGGGAAGAGAAACCCTGGGCGGACGTGGACTGGAGGATCTTGACGACGAGCCTCCGTCGCCACGTTCACGGTCTGTGGGAGACAAGAGGATACATGAAGATCGGCAAATTATGCTTCTATTCAAATACATACATTACATAAGAGCTGAAGAAATGTGGGGCAACTAAACTATGATATTTGGGCAATAATATGTAATAAAGCCCCCGTTTCTCCTCACCATACTGCCGAGTGGGAGAAGTAACATTCCTGATGCAAGGAGTTAGCTGGCTCTCTCCTCTCTCATGGGAGGAGTCACGTGAGTGGTCACTAGAGCGCCGCCGTTGTTCCTGGTAATGTTCAGCTCCTCCTCTTTCTCTTGCCCCACCGACAGCACCACCACTGGCACTGGCCCCGTACAGACTCATGGTGCTGGCCTGCTGGTCGTACTCCAACACTGACAAACCACACTGCCGGCCACTAATGGACAGATGAGAGCACACATTGAAGAAATCAAAGTTTGTGTCTTTCATTTCTGCTCAACAGCTGCTGGACACACACCTTTCTCAGCCTACATGTTTAGACACACACTGGCTCTGGAGGAATTACTATATCCAAGTGAAGCAGTCTAAGCAAGAGAACTTCACCTATGGGATAAGGATAACCAACAGAATTGGCCTCACCTGTTTTCTTGCCCCACAAGCTGTTTTGTAAGAGATTTGTGAATGATAGGTTACAATATCTAAGCAAGCAATGCTTCCTGGAGTGGTTCTCTGTAATCCAGAGACAGACAAGCAGCCCTGAGAGAATTGTAATATCTGCCCTCCATTTCAGAAGGGACTTAAACACACAAACACACACATACAACCTCATGCACTTGAGGAATATTTAACAAGTGATGTGACATTTTTCTCTTTAGGGTTTCATTTTTGTAACATAGTATGTAGTGTAGTACAGTGCAGTGCATACCACTGACTGTATACACAATGAATGATGCATCACCACTTCAGTCCACTATACACAAGTGAAGCCAAATTATCATGAATACAGCAGCAGCCACCTTGCATTTTGAAACCAGGTACCACACAATAGTGACCAGAAGTGGAGTGGCACCTCCAGGCCGCCAGTCATCCATCCATTTTCTATTCCGCTTATCCTGAAGAGGTCATGGGGGGGCTGGAGCTTAACCCAGCGGACAATGGGCAAGAAGCAGAGTACACCCTGGACAGGTCGCCAGTCTATCACATTGCTGACATGTAGACAAACAACCACACACACTCACGCTCACTCCTATGGGCAATTTAGAGACACCAATCAACCTAAACTGCATGTCTTTGGATTGTGGGAGGAAGCCGGAGTACCCGGAGAAAACCCACGCAAGGCAACATGTGGCTGGGGCTCAATACCGGAACCCTACTGCTGTGAGACGACAGCATCAGGCCACCAAGCACCCCTGTCAAATCATCCAAAATGCACCTTGTTTTATATCAAGTAACTTATTAAAAACAAACTTGCCAGAAAAATCATCACGATAACATCTACCAAATCCATCAAAATGTATTTGATTTGTACTTTAAGTTATTAGTTTGGCTCATGTCCCATCCATTAAAGCCTCTTTTCTATCACCTGGTACTGGCTCAACTCAACTCAACTCTACCTGCCTTGTTTGTTTTTCCATCAGTCAAATGTTGGGGATAGTACCTGGTACCAGGCGAGCTGACGCAATATCAAATGGTGTCGTAGTAGGAAGGAACCAAAATCGAATAGAGTAGAGCTGAGCCAGTACCAGGTGATAGAAAAGTGGCTTAATATGGAGGAGGCACAATTTATGGCCTTTACAGCAACCAGCCACCAGGTGGCTATCGTATGTGCAGTCAGTGGTGCATGCAGTACAGTTTGTAGCACTGACAACTTTGGGGGTGCAGCTGGTCTGTTGACCAGCTTGTCGTCAGATGACCAACAGACTGACTGGCTGTTTCACCATCTGGGCGGACAGAGAAGACCAAAATGTAGCAAGACCAGTGAACTGATGAAAAGATTGATTAACAATGCAGTGTGATGTCTGCACATCACCTTGAATTTCCACTGCTGCATCTGCTACAATCAGTCAAGGCCACAGATTCTTTTCTGTTTGATAGCAACCTATCAGTCTTCTGATACCAAAAACACAGTGTAGAAACAAAAAAAGATGATCACAAACACTATATGAACACAGAAAGACTTAAACATACATTTACAAAGGACTTAATAATACCAAAATTATGCATGACAAGAAAAGCGATGCAAAAGGTGCTGGTAAACGTCTGAATTCTACTTCTAGTTGGAAGTGTAACATTTCAAATAACTAAATGTTCCTTATTTTTTGCTTACAACATGTCAGCTTTACTGTATGGCTGCAGTCTGGCAATGCTGAAAGGGGTCACCACAGCAGCTGAGAAAAGGAAAAACATGTCCACAGACAAACACACACACCTCCTACTTTGTGCTCTGAACTGTCTGACCCACACAGGGACAACTCCTTCACCCTATATTACAGACACTACCTATCACTGAACATGTGAGACACAGAATTCTATGCTGTTCATAAAAGGCAAAGAACACTAGCCAGGCCTATTATCCATAATATAAGCGTTTACATTATACTGGTGAGAATATCACAAGCAATTAGATTTCATTTTTCAAATCAGCACAATTAAGTTATCTAGCGAGATATGACTGATTGTGATGTTAAGTTGTGTGTTACACTACCAGTGCTTGATAGCAGTGTTTTATGTCCAATGGGATGTTAATGGTTGACAGAAATAGGACAATAAAAACAAAAGTGCCTCCTCCAGCCAGTGGCCAGACCAGCAGGGCACAAGGGAACAAAGAAACTGAGGCAGCATTTCGCTCAGAGCAGGCAGCTCCTCTCATCTTTCACATGGCAATACAAATCTCCAGCAGCCAAGATCTCAGACAGAAAGAAGAGGTGGCTAACATTTCACTTGTTCAATTTCCTGTTACTGACACCCCCCTCCCCCTCCATTTGCTGAATAGGTCAGTGGCCTATAGTGCTTACAAAAGCTCTGCATGAAGGCTTAATGCGTTAAATACAAGTCAGGTTCACCAACCCATCAAAGGCATAATAACTGTGACAAAGATGCCAGACATCCTGGCAGTCTATTAAAAGCATAAGGTGAGAGCCCCAATGGGTGAGGGTCCCATCTATTATTTAGGGGCTGCTGACACGACACAGCGATGGGCAAAGGCTGGGAAGCTACTTTCTGCAGCAGCTGGGTTTGGAATCCAGCAAAAGGATGAGTATAAACAGGAAAATGCACCTCCAGAACAATCATTTTATTAGCATTTTTAATCTAAAGAAATCATTTAAAATATTCTTTGCTAGTATAAAGGTAAATTCTCATAAAGGATTAGGACTGGATTTCACAAGATCACCATTTACCCTCTTACTGAATACTAGAGAGTCAGATGCAGTCCCATAAAGGATCATACAGTCTGTGATTGTCTTTCCTGGACACTACTAGAATCCCTTTAATTACAGTAAATCCCACCAGGAGGCGGACAGGACATGTAACACAATGACAGAGCTAAAACCTCGGTGCCGTGAGAGCGGACGTAGCCTACCGGTCGGTTTCAACGGACCAAGCGAAGACAAAGCAGCAGGGGATGAGCTGCGCGATGACAGCGGCACAAAAGCCTCGCGCTCCTCCGAACAAAGCGGGCTTGCGGGCAGCTTCAGCATCCTCGCTCATTACTTTCCAACTTCATCAGCATCGCTTGACACACTCAAGCAGGACTTTATATGTCGCTGGTAAAACCCACCGCTTCGACCCTAGGCTTTAAATGTGTCTACAAAGGCGAGTGAGACGCGCACCGGCTAGACATCCAGAGTCACCGGAGGGACCTTAAACTGTGAATGGCCGCGTGCTCGACTGAATCAGAGCGATGCTGCCTTCACGTGCTCCTCGTAAGCTCCCCCTTCTGAGTGCTCCACGCGCTGGTGGTGCATTTCATGGAGGCCGGTTATTAATAACAACATCTACTTACATGAACAACTTTCCCAGGACTCACATGTGACGTGACAAATGTTATGGAAATTGTGAATTCGGTCAGAGTCAAAATTGTCTCAGCATCGTCTCAATTAATTTCGGCAAACTGGAAGCTGATTAAATATGATTACTCACGATAATACATTTTTTATTTTAAGCATGTTAAATTTAGAAATATAAATAAATATAGAAATATAGCAGAGCTGGTTGTCTTCAGAAAGGAATCCCAAATGACTTGACTTCATCCTGCTGTAAGCAATGCCACTTCTGTGACACCAAGGGGTTTTACACTGCAAGATACAGTGACTCTACCAGCCTGTGGCATAAGAGGCCCTTGTACAGCTGAGTAAACCTTGCTATCATGCACTGATAAGACCATATTCTCTTAGGAGAGATATCAAGACAGATGTCATACCTTTCCTTGTTCCCTTAAAGTGTTGCTACCTCTATATTAGTTCCGCCCACATGAAAAACAGCCATTTTAGCAAAGGTCCACTCACAACTCCTAACCTTACATCACATGATCCAGATGGAATCATCAATAGCTCATCCGTGGCCTTACCATACCTTTATTTTCTCTAACAATGGCCACCAGGAATTCACATAAAGCACACAATGTGGGATTATCCACAGGGACAGCTCTCTGTACCACCTTACCAACCTCTTACTGCTCCATTTGTCCACTGGACAACAAGGGCTGTACTTTTGCTTGTAATACTACTATGTATTATCAATGTATTTCTGGAATGGGTATTTTATGTCATTTAATCCACATTTGCTTAATGGGTCTTTAAATAAACGGTTACACATCGAGAATCCTACTAACAATATGGCGCTCCTTGGGAAGCGACGTCACAGTTCACTTGGAGTCAGGTTGTTTACAATTGGGGCTGAACTGCCTGCTATGGACACACTATACACACAGCGCTGTTGTAAAAGGGCAGAGAACATAATCAGAGAACCACTCCACCCAGCTCACACTCTGCTCAGACACAAAAACTGCACCTACAGCCTCAGACACAACAGGACAGACAGTATCATCACACAGAACAAGACTACAACAGCTTTTTCCCTGCCGCACTAAGACTGGTGGCAAATACGAAATTTGTGAGAAATGTGAGAATATATGTGCAATAACCCCTCACTAGACATGCGCAATAATAATACAGAAATGTTCCACAAGGTATTTTTGTAAGAGCATCTCATCAAAAGTGTTCTCTTGTGGGACCTGAATATAAGCAGGACATTCTCTACCAAGCAATGGAAACAGGCCTGAATATAAACTGTGTTTTAGTATGTTATAACCCCTCACTACCTCACCAAGTGTAATGACATATCCATCTCCACCATGTGAATTACTAAGTGTGATGTTTGAAGTTCACCGGGGAAAATACTATTACCCTATTTTTGTGTATTGCAGTTTTAATGCTTTGTTGCCTTTATGTAACTTTTCTATTTTAAGACTAAGTGTTCTTTCTGGCTTTTGACTCCTTATCTGACTCCAAAGGAGAGCTGTACAAGAATTTCTATATTCCTGGACTGTCTGTTTATGCATAAATGGCAAAGAAAAATCTTGACTTGAAACAATATGCAAGTTATACGTCCAATTAGAACAAATGGCTATAATTCACTTATTTATTTGTATGAAGATAGAGTTCTTGGTATTTCTACAAGTTAACATAAATAAAGATCGGGGCAGAAATACCCAGAAATGTTAACTGTGACCAGATCAGCTTAAAGGGCTTATCAACTGCAGGGTGTTGCGTTAGCCTCATGTATCATCCGCTAACATTAACTGTTAGCTAGTTACTGTACATGAACATTTACACAGAAGTTCATACACTTAATACTGAAGAATTTCTCCATCGTCATGGCCCATCGACCAACTTTGGCCACATCATCTGGAGGTAAGTTACAGTTAGTCTAGTTCAGCAATACTAACTTGTTAACCACTGTTGTGCCGAACAGAAAGTACTAAAAGAAATACCGCCACCCAACCTGTTAGCTATTTATTCTGTCTCGAATATCATTCAATTCAGTTACCGAATAAGATCAAATGCTGCCATTCTTGCTTTTAAATGTGACTGTGTATGAACTTAGATATAAAGTACGTAAAAAGCAAGAACTCGCTCGATATCATGCTTTACATAGACTTAAGAGCGTTAAAGAAGCTTTAGACTTTTCTGTTAACCGGTTATGTTAACAGTCCGCCTCTCTATCGTTAGCTAACTGGTTCTACAAACAAGGCTGTAAAACAACATATTTTTACCTCCTTGCGTTACATCCCAATTTTACGTGTCGTTTGAGTGCTGAAACAGTCCGCCGTGCAATCAACCGAATGCGTGGGAAACAAAAGACAAGAGTCTTCGTAGAAACTCCTAGCTTAGACGAACCGCATTGTGCTATAGGTTCTTTGTTTTGGTTTGCGAAACTGGAGATCACGTGAAACATATCGCGAGACAACAGCACATTCCAAGGGAAGTCACCTCGTGCACCGTGTTCACACGCACGTAGGCAACACACAGTATAATAGTGCTAAGTTTGTGAATGCATAAAACCGGAACCCTAAAAGCAGTCTAATTAATTTCTTGTTTTATTCATTCATAAAAACCTGACATATTTATAAAAATAAAATCCAATTTTAGGCTATATTTTAAAAAATATTTCCCCACCCTTGGCAGAGGTAAATAGGCCTTTAAACTACATATAAAAATATAGGCTACACTTTATTTAGCCTATCATTAGATATTCACTTTACACTTTACAATGAAATTACAAATAATTATTGCGAGTAGGTATACAACACAGTAGGCTGGGCTGTTTAAAATGAAACATATAATGCTGCCCATAGATAGGGGCATTGTCAAATCATAAGCTATTGTTGATCCAACATTTTATCTTATTCATTTTGTTGAACTGAGTAGCCTTTGGAGTGGTTTACAACACCTGTTAACTAAAAGTGCAAACACAACAGAGGAAGCTTCAGCAAGGCACGGTTTGCCTTTAACAGTCCATAAATAAGTCGTGGCTATCATTCATAAATAAAATGAAATAAATAAAGTAAAAATGCAAAATAAATAAATGTACATTCTAGCAAAATGGCATCTACAAATGTTTTAAGTTAAATAGAAAAATAGTAGGCTAAACTTCCTGAAAATGTGCTTTAAATGGAATGTTTGAAATATTGCTGAAAGTCAGATAAAGTCAAATAAAATCATGATTCCTTTGACTTGAGGAGCTTTTCCAAGAAGTTCAAGGTGTACTGGATCTCATCTGGTGTCAGGCTAGGCAGGTCGGCCTCCTCGGGACGCAGTCTACTCCTCACCAGACCTAATTCCCTGCTGCCCCACGCAGAGGCGGTGTGGATGCCCCGGAGCCTCATTTGCCGCCACCCCCGGCC